AAATACACGACCTAGCAGGGGAGAATATACTACTAGGACTCTTCACACTAAACTAATAAACACACGACCTAGCAGGGGACAATTTACTACTAGGACTCTTCACACTAAACTAATAAACACACAACTTAGCAGGGGAGAATTTACTACTAGGACTCTTCACACTAAACTAATAAACACACGACCTAGCAGGGGAGAATTTACTGCTAGGACTCTTCACGCTAAACTAATAAACACACGACCTAGCAGGGGAGAATTTACTACTAGGACTCTTCACACTAAACTAATAAATACACAACCTAGCAGGGGAGAATTTACTATTGATGAGTATATATATGAACAACATGGTGAACACAAGTCTATTCACTGTATCTGTCTCTGAAAAAAATGAAAAATGCTTCATAATTGTATACTTTTTTTCTAAATGTCATGATCAAACATTGAACTAATGCTTTAAACTAACTTGTTATTTAGAAATTCATGGTTATGTATAAACATTAAGAAATATGCTAGTTTCTTGTGTTTTCGTTGTAGTAGTAGTAGTGGTAGGCTTTTTTTATGGTTTTTCCTAACAATCGACAAAATTGAATTGACTGTTGCAGACAATTTAATAGTTTGTTCTTCCATTTCATTTCATTCCCCAAGTAAATCAACAGGTACTTCCCTCCACATGGATTGTTGGAATTAATTTGTTTTTGATCCTAATCCTCAATCCATGAAAACGTTTTTAAAAAAGACCCAGAACTTACCGTGTTAGACTACTATTGGTGGTAGTGTTGGTGTTACCATATGAATATATAATATTAAAACTAGCACTACTATTTAATAATGGTAGCAGGAATTAATGTGTTAAAAAAAAGACCCAGAACTTACCGTGTTAGACTACTATTGGTGGTAGTGTTGGTGTTACCATATGAATATATAATATTAAAACTAGCACTACTATTTAATAATGGTAGCAGGAATTAATGTGTTGACACCGCAGTAAAGTGAGCCACACATTGAAAAAGAGACACATCTGATCGTTAGCAAAGTTAGTGCAAGTACAGTAATATTAGCGGGCCATTGGAAGTTTTGTTTCTCACAAGAGGCTCAGCTAGCACACGACGATTAGTATTTGTGACAAAGTTACTGCCTCAAAAAATGGTTCTGTCACAATAAAGTTATGAACTTTTACAGAAGAATTTCCCACCATTTCAAGTAAAGGAACAGATGGTGTTACACTATTATAGAAAAATACAGAAATTAGTTACATGGTGTAAGTTCTTTGGTAAAATCAAACGTGCAGCTAAGTCTATTATACTCCACTTTCCCTTGTATAGAAAAATAAAAAAAGCATCGTTACCTAAAAAATTTCTTAGAGTTCAACATGAGACCGAGTCTTAATTTTGCCTAATACAATCTCTATTAATATTTCATCAACAATATTTTGGTGTCTCTTCTACACCATCATATAAGAATTGGAGTGATTCCGTACCCACATAAGAAGCCACGGACTCTACAAGAAGACCGTTCGCCATTGTATAGAAGAGTTAGAAACATGATGGTTTTCTCATACATTTCTTCAAGTTTAATGTTCAGCTGAGTACGTAACTTAAACTTACTTCATAGAATGTCTTTTATAAATTCAATAACATTAATTCGGTGCCTTCTCCACACCATCATTTAAAACCTGTAATTATCCAGTACCCCTTAAAAATCAATGGTCGGAATAAAAGAAAAAAGACAAATAAAATAGTTACAAGTCTGAAAAATCACCTTCTACACCAAAAATGTTAATAACAACTTTCTAGTGTTACCGTTTTTTCCAACTTGAATTTTAAATTAAAGTTTAGCTAGGTTAATCCTACAAATTGATAGTCTTTGTTTAACTGTTGCTAAACAAAACCTGGTTAAATGCTAAATACTAAACTTTTTCAAAAACAACTAGTTAATATATTGATACAGTTATCAGTATACTACTATTACTAGTAATGCTACTAAAATTTTCACATATAAAAAAGTTATATTCGCATTCCAAAGTTCCATTTTCATTTTTACAAATTTTTAAATTTTAGGCCTAACGTCGAATAACACTATCGTAAATAAATTATTCTACGCTTGGCTGACATTATAATATTTCTAAGTATTTTGCACTAATACAAACCCATGATTTTACTAAAGTTTATTAAAACTACGAAAAGAATTTCGAGCTTCATATATTTAACTTACTTATCTTTTTCTGTACCAAATATCGAAGCCAAATATTCCGCCATTATCTAATAGGAATAACCTACACAACAAACAGTACCATCACACCAACGCTTCCTTCAAATGTTGAATTCTATTGGTTCTGAGTGCATTTGATAAAATGTGGTCAAAAGTGATAACAGCAAACATTTATCTATTAAAAAATAATTATCGGTTATTGTTAATGCTTAAAACATTTACGATAAATGCCTGTTATTTATCAAGTTCAGAAATGATTGAATGCTTTTATATAATAATTATAACTATTATTTTATAATAACTCTTATATCATATATACAGATAATTGCATTTATTTTTTAAAGATTTAGTTGGGTTTGTTCCAACCAAATGTTTTAAGTGATTTTGAAACTATTAAACTTGGATTTCTCAAAAATGATTATCTAATATATAAACAAATTAGTTCCCAAAAAGTATCAAACACATGTTATTACTGGTTAACAATTACCATTACATCAGCCCAGATCAGTGCTCGGAAAATTATAATTTTTCTTTTTTTTTATCCACTATTTAAACACAATTTTTCAAATTCAATGTTTCTTCGTAGCCATCGTTTTATCAACGATTAATATTTTAGTTCCTTCCTTTAACTCAACTACTTGATCCGTATTAATAAAGAATGTTAATCAACATAACTTTGATAGGAAAGGAGTTGCCTATGAATGAAAGTCATTTGGTCAAAACATCAACATTTTTTCAAAGAATTTTTAATAATTTCCATATTTTAATGTTATTTATTGTTGTAGTTGCGTTTGTTTGTTATTTGTGTTGCTTTGAAACTACACCACTTCCAGGAAATGTTCAGCGGGATCACAGATATTTATATTTTTTACATTATTGTTTGTTTGTTTGTAGTTATGCACAAAGCTACACAAAGGGCTATCTGTGCTCTGCCCACCACAGGTATCGAAGCCCAGATTCTATCGTTGTAAGTCCGCAGACATACCGCTGTGCTATTGGGAGCTTTTTTACATTATCCATCCTTGTCAGAGTTTGGGGAGATATCATCTGCCTCAACGCATGATACCCGTCAAATCACATTTTAATTTCAAAAATCAGAAACAAATTTTAAAGTTTAATTCTCCAACAACAATTACGAGCCTCAGACTAGAAAAGGACATATTGTTACGTCTCC